CTTCTGCCACAAAACAAATTTCAAATTAACTTCTCAAGTTGCCGTGGATCCCATGGAACCTCAAATTAGTTGCCAGTCTCCCGTTGAGATTTTATCAAAACGTTGCTGAAGTCATGTGGGTTCCAACCATTGTACTACCCTCATTCATACATACAGTCACCTCCTCTGAAAAATGGCGCGAATCCCGTCAGATTTTAGATCACACCAATCAAAGTCATGCTGACTATTACTGATTAATCCTTGCCTTGCCAAGTGGAGACTGATATTGTACCTCAGAATTTCTTCTCCAAATAATTTCCACAGACGTTAGATTCAACAGCCTACATTTCCCAAGTTGAACCTGACTGTAAACGCTGAATAATGGTACCCATTAACTGACATCCAGCCCTCTGGCGTCTATGTTTTGGGAAGAGATGATTCCAAAATACATGTCAGGATGCCTTCAATGTACCTCCTTGACTTGGGTTCTGGAGCTTGGATCTTGTTCAATTTTATGGCCATCAAATCAGTAAAACCTCTTCTCTTTCGGTTGAAATTTCTTCAACTATCTCACAATTTCATTACTGACTTTTTTATACTTATGTTGTGTTTATTTGCCGTGAATAAAGATGTAGAGTACTGTTTCAAATTAAAACCCAATTCTTCAGACTCTACCACAGTTAACTATTTAATTTCCTCATGGCGATCATTTTTCACAGGTTATGTTCTTGCTGCTAATATACTCATAAAATGCCTTTCTTTGATGATACTTCCGAGTGCTATTTTGTCAATCATCCTCTTCTGTTTCTTCATTTATTTTTTCAAATAACACCATGCACATTTTGTACTTTGTAGGGCTTCCAATTTTCTGGATCCTCACTGGCTACCATAAGCTTCATTTGATTTTCCCTCATTTACTCCTGCGGTTTCTGTTTGCTACTATTGCATTACAGAAATATTTTGACCCGACATTCATTACTTCTGATTTGAAAAACTCCCAGAGCTCTGATGTAAATTTTCCTACACATGGCAGCTCCCAGCCCACTTTGATCAGGTAAAGTCTTATCATACTAAAATCGGCCACCCACAATTCCATATCTTTATTTTGAGTCTATCTTTGTCCTTTTCCATGACTGCATAAAATATGACTGAAATTCTCTATAAACGACATTTCTATCACTTGCCTGGCTTAGTTGACAAAAATTAGGTCCAACATGAAAGGACTTTCTTTTTATTATTCGATCATGGAGCATGAGCGTTACTGGCTGAATGTTTATTGTCCATGTCTAGTTGCCTTTGAGAAGGTGGTGATGAGCTGCCTTCTTGAACTGCAGCAGTTGATGTGATGTACATAGTATGACTTAGAACCTTTAGTGAGGGATTTTCAGAATTTTGACCCAGCGACAGTGAACAAACGATGATTTATTTCCAAGTCATGATGGTGAGTGGCCTAGAGGGGAGTTTCTGCCGTCGTCCTTTTAGATGGAAATGGTCATGTATTTGGAAAGTGTTACCAGGGAGCTTTGGTGAATTTCTGCAATGTATCTTAAAAATGGGACACTGCAGCCATTGAGTTTCCATGTTTCAAGGATTAAATCCTTTACTCATTCATGGGATGATGCTGGGTAGGGCAGCATTTATTGCCCATCCCTAATTGCCCATTACTGTGGGTCTGGAGTCACATGTAGGCCAGACCAGATAAGGATGGCAGTTTCCTTCCCTTAAGGACGTTAGTGAACCAGATGGGTTTTTCTGACAATCGGCAATGGATTCATGGTCATCATTAAATTCTTAATTCCAGATACTTGTTGAATTCAAATTCCATCATCTGCCATGGCAGGATTTGAATCCAGGTCCCCAAAACATTTTCCGGGTCTCTGGAGTAACAGTCCAGCAATAATACCACTAGGCCATTGCCTCCCCCTGTTTGTGGATGTAGAGTCAATAAAGTGGGCTGTTTTGTCCTGGATGGTGTCAAGCTTCTGAGTGTTCTTTGAGCTGCACTCATCCGGGAATGGTGTTGTATTTCAACACAATCCTGACCTGTGCCCTTTAGATGTTGATAGACTTTGAGGAGTCAAGAGCTAAGTTGTTCACTGCAGTATTCCTAGTTTCTGACTTGCTCTTGTAGCCACTGTATTTAGATGGTGGGTCGAGCTGAGTTTCTGGTTAATGATGACCTCCAGGATTGTTGATAGTTGGGGAATTCAGTGATGGTATCACTACTGAATATCAAGTGGTTAGATTGTCTCTTATTGGAGATGCTATTGCCTAGCACTTATTTGGGGAAAATGTTGCATTCCACTTATCAGCTAAGCCTGGATATTTTCCAGGTCTTGTTGGATTTGAACGTGAAGTGTTTCTGTATTTGAGGAGTCACGAATGATGCTGAGTATTGTACAATTATTAACAAAAATCATGACTTCTGACTGTATGATGAAGCGAATGTTGTTGATGAAGCAACTGAACTGGGCTTCGGACACTACCCTGTGGAACTCCTGCAGACATGTCTGGATGAGAGAACACTGACTTACAACAACCACAACCATCTTTCTATGCTAGGTATTACTCTAATCAGTGGAGAGTTTGCCTGCCGATTTCCATTGATTCTAATTTTGCTGGGGCACCTTTATACCCTAATCGTCGAATACGACTTTGATGTCTAAATTTAACCCTTTCATTTCACCTCTGGAAATCAATGTTTTTATCCATGTTTGGACCAAGGCTGTATTGAAGTCAGGATCTGAGTGGCACTGACAGAACCCAAACTGGGCATTAATGAACAGGTTTTGCTGAGCAGGTGCTGCTTGATACCTCTGTTAATAGCAGCTTCTATCACTTTTGATGATCAACAATAGATGATTGGAGCGGTGATTAGGCACTTTGGATTTGTCCTCCCATTGTGTACAGGATAGAGCTGGCAATTGTCTACATTGTGGGGAAAGATATCAGTGATGTGGCTGTGATGCAGCAGCTTGTCTAAGTGTGAGGTAGGGTCTGGAGTACAAGTCTTCAGCGTAATTTTCGAATATTGTCAGGGCCTATAGTCTTTGTGGTATCCAGTGCCTCCAGTTGTTTCACAATATCATATGGAGTGAATAGTATTGCTTGAAGACTCATTTGTAATGAGGGGACAATTAGAAGAAGCAGTAATGTCAGTTTCTGTCATTAATTCTAGCTAAAGATTGCTTCAGCCATATCTTTTGCAATGATGTAGTGGGCTCTTCCGTCATTGAGGATGGGGATATTTGAAGAGCTCCTCTTTCAGTGGCTCGTTTAATTATCAACCACCATTCTCTACTGGATGTGGCAGGACTGCAGAACTTAGATCTGTTCCTTAGATTGTGAAATCGTTTAATTCTGTCTATCACATGCTGCTTGACCTATTTGGCACGCAAACAGTCCTGCGTGGGAGTTTCACCAGAATGACACCTCATTCTGGAATGGCACTCTGCACTCTCCATTGATCCAGGGTTATCCCTGGCTTATTTAGAATGGTCAAGTGGGGAATAAGCTGACAATAAGTTTGCAGATTGTATTGTATTAAGGTTCTGTTTTGTCTTTCACCCATGGTGTCTCATGGATATCCAGTCTTGAGTTGCTAGACCTGTTCGAAGTCTGCCCCATTTAGCACTGTGATAGTGATACACAAAGACTGTGCAGTGGTCGCTTTTACCAATACTGTCATGGAGAGATGCGTCTCAGTCTGCAGAATGGTGACAATAAATTCAAGTGTTTCATTCTCCCCTCCCCCACAGTAACCTCTTTCAGCACCTGCTACAGGCCGAGTCTAGCAACAATGTCTTTTAAGACTCGACCAGCTCGAAAAGTAATGCTGCCGCCGAGATACTCTTGGCGATGGATATTGAAATCCCCAACATGGAGTACATTTGCGCCTTGACACCCTCAGAGATTGCTCTGAGTGGTTTTAAACATGGAGGAGTAATGAGCCATTAGCCGAAGGAGGATGATACATGGTAATCAGCAGGAGATTTCCCTGCTCATATTTCATATGATGCCATGAGAGTTTATGGGGTCCAGAATCAATTTTGAGGACTCCCACTGCAACTCTCTGATATATACCACTACACTGCCACCTCTGCTGGGTTTACCCTGTGCTGAAAAAGGACATGACATGGATGGCAATGAAATCATTTGTTCAAAAAGCATACAATTTATAGACAGTCAGTCAATGTGGCATTTTATAAATTCCTACTTTAGAAATAAAACCATTCTGACTCCAAACCAAAACACAAACGGATTCTAAACAAAGTCTCCCATCTAACATGCCTTGTGTGACCTAAACTGTCAACTTTTCTTTACACTGATAAAACCTTTAGTTCTCTCAGGACTGACTTGAAAGGAATTTTGGGATTTGCTTATACATATTAATCAATTAAAACCTTCTACCTGATTAAAGATTCAACAGCATCTTAGATTTGTTTAATGTATCCTCATCAATGGTGTGACCCTTTGATATTTTCTTTTAGATTCTGCATCTGGTTCTACCCCTCTCATTACCACCCGAAGAAGGAGTGAGGCTCCAAAAGCTTGTGTTTTCAAAAGAAAACCTGTTGGACTGTAACGTGGTGTTGTGTGATTTCTGACCTTGCCTAATACCAGTGTCTATTTGACAGGCAGTTTCCACACAGTTTTATACTGAGATTTGAATTCTTAGGAATATTTTTACTTGTTGTAGGTGCATATTGATTTATTCGATTCTAGTTTTTCAAAAAATTACTTGAATGATATGTTTCACTGTCAGCTCACTGTTTCATCATCAGGCAAGTGCATTACCTATAAAAACCAAAAGAACTGCGGATGCTGTAAATCAGGAATTAAAGCAAAGTTGCTGGAAAAGCTCAGCAGGTCTGGCAGCATCTGTGAAGCATTACCTATACTGAGCATTTTCAAAGGACTGTATTATTCAGAACAGTTTGAGAACTGCAAGAAAAGATATTCTCTAATGTAAGGAATTTCTTATATCCAGGTCCAAACTGTACAGTGATACACAACCACATTTTAAATAGCACTCTTCCTGTCTGCTATAATCTGGATTTCTGCCAACTGCTGCATACGATAGATTAAAGGGAATATGAATCAACAACAAAAAAGGTAACTATCAATCTATTTTTTTCCAGTTATACACATTTGCTCTAACAAAAAACTGCTGAAAGCCTCATTCACTATATGACTATTATAAAATAGGGAATTTACTGCACACCACTAATTTCTACGATGACCAAAAACCGTCATTGCATTTAGTTAAGGCTGTTTCATATTTTATAAAGCTAGAGTTAAAATAAAATGGTTCCACCCTCACACTGCAATTGCATTAGTTAGCATCGCAAAGAATTTTGGGCAAGTGCCATTTGTACTCTGTCTATGTTTGGTACTGAGTTGCATAAATTAAAATTTAGAAACATCCATTCTAGATTGTTTGTTATTTTTGTAGCGTGGTACAGACTTGGAGTTTCTGCAAAAAGGAAACGTTGTCATTAACATTAAAAATGATGGCAATTTCATTGAACTGGCTTTTGAAGGTTGTCCACTTGTGAATGAATGTAGAAATAGAGGGAATCAATTTTGAATTGAATCTTTTGTTATGTATGAAATGCAATGTTAAAAACATTGATCTGAAGCAAACCTCAAGCTGGTCGATTGTATTTCTGTGATTAAAAGTGAGGGAACACTTCCATTTCAGAAAAACAAATAACCCAAGTGAAGTAAGTGTCCATGTTTAAAATTAGCCTGGTGTAAACATATGAGCTGTGGAAGATGGCACTAGGATCCAGTCACAGCCTCCAACTGGGAATCAAGAGGCATGTCTATAAACCAGCCCATTCTGCTGTGTGTTCAAACACTGGTCCATGGACCGTAATTCAAGACTCCTGGATTGGGTTTGTACTGAAAGCTATTGACAGAACCTTTTCCCTAAAGTACCAGGATTACCTAAATTGAAGGATGATTTCAATAATTTTTCTCAGCTTGTTTCTAACTTTCTTATTCCATGGGTGTTTATTGTCTAGAGCTTTCATTGTCATTGTCTCACGGTTAGTCTATCTCTAGAATGCAGCAGGACTGAGTTCATCGACATTAATATTCGGGTTCTTTGTAGTTTTTTAAAGGTGTCCAGTCGGGGGCTATTTGACTCAACCGGAAGCAAGGATAGGCCACCTTAGAGGGCCCCTGATACTGACCTGTAAAACCAGTGAGTTCGATCTTGGTAGCCATGGCATGAATTGGGTCTGACACGTCCACGGACAAGGGCTGGAGTGGCTGGTTTATTATTACATCTAGCAAAATCTATGCCCTACTGATTAAAGAGTGATTTATTGCATCCAAAGACACTGCAAAACACATCTTCACTTTGAACATGAAAAGCCTGAAGATCGAAGACAGCAGCATCCATTACTGTGCAAGAGACTGGGGTGGCTCGCCCCATTACTGGGGACAAGGAACCGTAGTGACGGTGACTGCAGGTAAGAAGCATATACTTTCTTAGCAACAGTTTTGTTTGTTTTAACATTCTATTTATGTTAGTAATTCATAAGATAAATGAAACCTGGTTTTAGTGGATTCTGCATTGAGTTTGGTCTGATTCTAATAATGTTCTTTTCTTGAAAAATGAGTATAGACTTGAAATGAGTCTCAGTAAATATCTAAAGCGCTGGTGAGGGATTTTGTCGTTCATTGTTTTTTTTTAGTCAGCTGGGCATATTGTGTCGCTAGGTTACTTGAAACACCCAAAATTTCTCAAGCAGTGAGGTGTATAATCAATATTTGATGTCAGTGACATCTAACATCTGCAAGTTTTAATATGAATGCAAATGTTAAGAAATTAATGATGTTCGAAACATTACCAAACACCAACAAAATATGTTAAAATATCATTATTAATTCACAGAACATGTTCCATTTGCTGAAAATGCTACAAGCATGATTGTGTTTTGTGCTTTAATTTGCTAATTTAGTTTGATGACAAGCACATTAGATTCTGTATTGAAAGTTTCTTGAGGTGCTGCACTTCATCCTGTTGAATTAAGTTGATTGGATTCTGGTTCTCTTTCATTTGAAACTGTTGACTTGAGTTGATAGGAATCTGACATTGTTTCACTTATTCTGTTGAGTTCAGTTGATTAGATTCCAATTCACTTTGTAGAATCAATTTGCGTCACCAACAGGTTTCATTTTTTTGCAGTAATTAGTGTTTTTTTATGCTGAAAAGATTGTCTGTCTGGGTTACGTTTAATCAGTATTATTGACGAAGTTATCTGCTTTTCCGGCATCGTTTCCACATATGTTAAACTCAGTGGTGGCATTTTTATGCTGATTGAATGAAACAGTATACCCATTTGTAACTGCCAGAAAACCAACTTAAAGCAGAAATACGCAAGGTTGAGAAATGAGAAAAAAATGATATATTAGTGTATTGTTTCGTTTAATGCTCGGATAACTATCTGTAATCTAAGTAAAGTCGGTTTTTGGTAGCCTCATTCAAAATATTATTTGTGATTAAAATCTCATGCTGCCTAATTGATCAGATTTCATAGCTGAGACCAAAATATTATTAAAACGGAATTATAACGTGATTATATTTATCCATTTAACTACTTACGGTCTGATATTAATGATATTAATCAAAAATTGCCTCTAGGAGCTCTACTGTACGTTGCAAATAATTGACATGAACAGAAAAGATATAAAGGTTGGAAATCAATTGCAATTGTCGTTCAAAACGTGCTGCGTTTTAAGTACATTTTAGATAACACCTTTCACACAAAGCTGCTGTTACGACTTCTTACTTCTGTTTAATTTAAGTTTGTTTGATGGTGAGCAGTTTAGTTGGATTCTAACTTGTGATTTCCTTGGATGCTACTTTTTTTTGCTTCTGTTGAAAGTTCTGCTGCAAAAGTATCACTGTCCCTCAGTGTTATGATTTGGTGATCTTTGTTCAATTGAGAAGATTGTGCGTGTGTGTGTGTGTGGGCGCCAGTGAATACATATTATTTGTGAAGCAGTTTCTAGTTTCTTCATTGCTAATGCGTTGTTTACATTTTGGTGACAGTCAACGGCTCCAATCTCCTAATTCAATACAAAACGCATGCGAGTTGAAATTTCCTGAAGCCCAATGTTAGGTGAAAGGCAGATCGCGAAGGTTTTGGAAATGAAATGAAAGGAAAACAGATACCTTTTGTGTGCTGTGCTTAATTGAAAGTATTAAATACAGATTAACCTAATCCATAGTTTGCATGGCAAATTTAGAGTTCAATTACCTACATCGATCATAAGCTCTGTAATTAAAAAGTTTGCAAGTCACAGAACTTCGAAAATACAAGTTCTTGATATTAAACCAAGTACCATTATGTTAACATCATTAATCAATAATCGCCTTTAAATTCGGCTGTATACTACACAGAATTAATCTGCCTAGAAAAGGCAATTTGAAGGGAACATTTAATGATTTTCTCTGAAATATTTTTCATGAAAAACAAATCAATTTCAGTGCTTTGACCAGCTAACTTTAATAATTAATTATTATATCACCGATTAAACTAGATTTGTGCAAATAAAACAATTACTGAGTGATTTTATCGAGACACTGTCTTACGTGTTTCCAATCCATATGTTTTAGGTATCTCTGGCCACGTTTTACAACGACATATCAACCGAAGAGTCAGCCTTTAGAAAACAACTGACAATGTGGATTATATGACTACGGCTACATTCTGAATTAATTAAAATAATCTACTCGTCAACTCACCATGGGGAATAGCTGCTTTGAATGTAGAGAATATGTTAAAAATCTAAGCATTCAGAAATATGTACATGTTTACAACTTCGCAGAAATTACAGCATAGTTGAATGCATAACAATGAGAATCGAGTGATATTTATTTTAATTAATATACATAACCTAATGCTGAAATTTGAAAGCTCACATTGGTTAAGTTTGATGATCATGTGTTTAGACATCAGTCGAGCCAGGAAATGCTTAATTATTCTTCACTACAAATAAGCTATCAAGATAATTAACTTACAACAGCAAAACCAAACTTGAAATATATTATTTACCCTAATTTATTTAACATAAATGCGTTTCCACAGTGGAATAATATATTGATGTTAACAGTGCGTACAAAATCTCCAAAGTTCAAGAAATGTTTTAAGAAAATGTAAACTCAATTCCGAGAATACTCTATTTCCTACTAAGCTGTTCCCAAATTGATGAGATGTTGCGCCTCAACGATTTTGTGTGACTTAATACGTTTATTGAATCAGTAGGTAATCAATGTTCATTGTGAAAGCATTTTCATTCGCATTAATGTTTACACTCTATAAAAACCGAAAGAACTGCAGATGCTGTAAATCAGGAACAAAAACAAAGTTGCTGGAAAAGCTCAGCAGGTCTGGCAGCATCTGTGAAGGAAAAAACAGAATTAACGTTTCGAGTCCGGTGACCCTTCCTCAGACCAGGAGTTCTGATGTCATTTTGTATTGCGGACAGAACATATGCATATTTTCAAATCAACCTGGTCAGAAATGTTACACCTCTGAAACAGGGGGGCCTAGAATCGCCTCCTCTTATCTCAGAGACAGAGATTCCATCGCTATAACAAAAGAGTCTTTCAGAAAACGCTTATCTATGCACGTCGGCAATAAATGTTCCCCACACCATCAGGGTCAAATCTATTATTGGCAATCGATTAGAACTGAATCAACAATAAATATGAACTCAGTCTAGTATAAGTGCAGAAACACACATATGCCCTCACAAAAACTCACATAAAGACACATATACATGCTCTGGTGTACACACATATGCGTGCATACAGATAAGCAGCCACACACGCGTAGACGAATAGAACTACATGTATGTACAATAAATGAACACTCACATAAACACACACAAAGACGCACGTACACCTAGATAAATACACACAATATAAACAGATGTACGCAAATATAACCATGATAAACGTACAGACAAGTTAATATACAAATAGACATGAATATATGTACATGCATACACTGAAATACGTGCATGTATAAACACACAGAAGCAATGTCAGAGAAGTATCCGCCTGCATGTACACACGCAGGCACATCAGGACAAAGGCGCAAACATTAACCTCTTCATTAGCATGCATCCACAAAAACAGGCATATCAGGCTAGTGGCTGCTTGTTTATTAATTTTTAATCATATTGATTAGCGCATGTATATTGGCACGGATGTACGCAATTTCTGGGCCTTGCAGGCAGACAGGCAAACACATGGATCAGCAGACAACAAGGTACTTATGGAACACCGATTAACACAAGAGTCAACAAACATCCACAATTACACAAACAAGAAATTAGCAGAGGGTTTAGCGTACAGCCAAATAAACGTGCATCAAAACAAAGTTGCATATCAAAACAGAATAACACATTTATGAAGCAAGGACATGAAAATAACACAGATAAGAACTGAAATCGACACATAAACACAGATTAGATGGCACAGACGTAAAACAAAAAAGTCGCATTCACACAGACATTGAAACGTAAACATAGGCATCACTCCAGCATCGGCAGTTCCTAATATCTCCGAATCAACAAATGATGTGGTGTATTAGCATATTGAGGCTTACACATTGTAAAATGAACAGCACTAAAGACACGTTAATATGCTTATCGATGCACAATCTCTAACATGAACACGTGCTGAATCTCTTAACCGCATGCACAAACATTAAAGGAAAAACAAGTACGCTAAACAATAAACAAAAATGAATCAACGGGCACGTCGTTCAAAAGTTGTTCCCAATCCCTACAGAACCTACAAACAAAAAATCTGCAACTATATTCTTACTGCGAATATGTATTTTGTTAATGAGTTGCCAAATATTTTGATCACACGTAAATGAACAAGATGAGAAATCACACTTAAACTCTTATCCAGAGATGGCCACATTTTTCAACTAAACAGCTGCCAGGAACTATTATTAAAATATTACGATATAATTAAAATAATCGTCGTCAAAGAGAATTCCTTGATATGATATCTATGCTAATATTTTCCAATAATGGATCAAATGACAAAATGATTCAAAATGTATTCACATGGATAATAAAGGAAGGGCAGTTGGGGAGTTAGTAACAGTTATTGCTGAGGGTCACCAATGCACTATAGATGCAGGTAGAGAGTCAAGTTAGAGAACAACCTGATGGCTTGAAATAGTTGTAACGGTCTCTAAGTATGTTATTTATATACATATATATCAGTCTGAATCAATAAACAATCTAAATCATGTACTTAGCTTTAATCTCATAGTTTTGATAGATCCCACTTGGATTGAAGACTATGAGGATGATAACAGCAACACCAGGACAACTGCTTCCATCTTCATCACTCTGTTCTTCCCGAATATTTTCTACAGTGCTGCCATCACTCTGGTGAAAGTGAGAATGATCAAATCATTTACACGTCAAACAAACAAATATGGCTTATGAAATCTCTAAGTGCTGCATAAAAATTGAAAACATAATGCCCCGATCATAAATATCTGCATCATCACGTTATCCTTCTTTTACAAGTCAAATGATCCAATGAATTTTGGATCCCTTGAATTTTCCTCAACTGGTTATTGGGGTCTCCCAATTCTGAATTTCTAAACTGTCCTATTATTGATACTAATAATAATATCACTTCAGTTTCTGAGTCCGAATCTATAACTCAGTAAATAATTGATGGCCTTTCTGTTTATTTTGTTTGATATCAATGAGATAATTATGGCTGGACCTTATTTGTAGCTTTTAACTTTCTGGTTGTTTGAAGTCCATTTGTGTTGTTATTGTTGTTGCTGTTCCTCATTCAAGATTGCTGCTTTCCTCTCTGTTGTGCCCCAATTTCCTCTTTGTGGTAACCAACACAGATGTATACAAAATTCACAGCTCCGAGTGCATGTGTTCCCGTCTTGATCTGGCAGCCAGTCATCATGTACAGACTATTAAATTTCACATTAACCTTTCAATAAAAGTGGACCGTGAAATGGTTAATAAATCTTGAATATGTACTCAAAATGAGTTTATTTAATTCTTTCAGTTCATGTTGTGCCACATTCATGTCCACAAGTGTAAATCAACCTGTTATCTGGTATGTCTCATGGATAACTCCAGAGCAGAATGAGTCAAGAGCAAGGGTGGCATTGATGGTTCCTGTTAGGCAGTGAAGTTTCAGAGCCTCGTATCAAGTAGTGATCAAAATCGAGAGCTTTTCCTCACCAGAAGCTGATACGGAACGGCTGATAGAGTTAGAAATCTGTGAGTCAGAGAGTAATACAGCATGGAAACAATACTTTGGCCCAATGTGGTACTTGCTGACCATGGTGTCCACACAGCTAGTTCCAATTGCCCGCATTTGGTTCATTTCCCTCTAAACCCTTCCCATCCATTTTCCTATCCACATGTTTTATTTAAATGTTGCTATAGTGCCTGCCTCAACCACTTTGTCTGGAAGCCCATTCCATATACGCACCACTCTCTGCATGAAGAAGTTGCCCCTCAGGTCCTTCTTAAATCCATCTCCTCTCACCTTAAACCAATGCCCTCTAGTTTTTAATTCCCCATTCCTGGGAAAAAGGCTATATGCATTCATACTATCTAAGTCCCTCACGATTTTATGCACCTCAATAACGTTACCACCGCCCCCCCCACCCCATTGTCCTATGTTCCAACAAATAAAGTCCTATTCTGGCTAACCCATCCCTATAACTCAGGCCTACTAGTCCTGGCAGCATCCTCATAAATCTTCTTTGCACACTTTCCAGTTTAACTATATTTCTCCTATAACAGCATGACCAAAACTGTACACAATATTCCAAGTGAAGCCTCACCAACAACTTAGACAACTATAACATAACATTCCAAATCCTGTACTCAATGTCTTGACCGATGAAAGCCAGCATGCTAAATGTCTTCTTCATCAGCCTGTCCACCTGTGATGCCGCTTTTAATAAACTATGTACTAGTACTCCTAGGTCCCACTATTCCACAACACTTGTCAGGACCTTACCATTTACTGTATAAGTGCTACCTTGGTTTGACTTTCCATAGGACAACACCTCACACTTACCTATATTGAATTGCATTTGCCAGTCCTCAGCCCACTTCTCCATCTGATCAAGATCCCCCTGTACTTTTTGATAATCTTCTTTGCTATCAATGAACCACCTGACTTTGTATCATTTGCAAACTTACGAATCATGCCTTGTACATTTTCATTTAGATTATTTATGTAAATAACAAATAACAAAGGTCCCAACACCAACCCCTGTGGTGCACCACTAGTCACACACCTCCAGTCCGAGAAACAACATTCAACCATCACCCTCTGCTTCCTACCATCAAGCCAAATTTGAATTCATATAGCTAGCTCTCACTGGATCCCATGCGATCTAACTTTCATGACTAGCCTACCGTGCAGGACCTTGTCAAAGACCTTACTGAAGCCCATATAGACAAAATCCACTGCCCTACACTCATCCATCCTCTTGGTTACCTCTTCAAAAAACTCTAAAAGAATTGTCAGATATGACTTACCGTGCACAAATCCATGCTGATTATCTCTAATCAGATCTTGACTATCCAAATGTTGATCGATCATGTCCTTCAGTAGCCTCTCCAATAACTTGCCTACCAGTGATGTCAGGCTCACTGGCCCATAGTTTTCTGGCTTGTCTTTGCTACCTTTCTTAAACAATGCACCAACATTAGCCACCT